CTGCCGGGAGGTACAGAAGTCCTGAGAGAAAATAATACATTGTATATTATAAAATCCACCATCGCATTTTTTTTCAAAGGCAAGAATTCTGTAAATATGAAAACTCTGAATGATAAACTGAGATTCCAATTCTTTGGTATGGCTCTCCAATTTTTGAAAACTGTCATCAAGCTGTCATCACTTATGACCGTTGCAGCATCCCCACAGTCGTGTGATCAAAATTCAGACTCTTGGCAACTGCCTCATATTTATAACAGCTGCCATGTCCCAGGGCTTTTTGATCACCTTTTCCGGTTTTCTGACAAGCGAAGTCAGTGGAGAAGCCAAATTCACTTAACAACCATATTACTCCCCTAACAACTGCAGTGATTCACTTAACAACTGTGGCAGGAAAGGTTGTAAAATGGGGCAAAACTCATTTAACAACTGTCTCACTTAGCAACAGAAATGTTGGGCTCAATTGTGCTTGTTAGTGGAGGTCTACCTGTACATAAGGTTAATTTTAGTTTATATTTTCCAGTCCTGGCCATTTTGAAGCATAGCTTCCAGCATGTCATTTGAAGACTAAATGCAGCCTTTGACCAAAAGGATTCATTCTTGGTGAAGTTTCTCTTTTTTTGCTTTCCAGTCATAGACCTGTGCCAAATTAATTTATTGGCTGAGATAATGAAATGCCCAACTTTGTGCAGCAACACACACAGAACCTAACTGGAACGACCGCTTAATCTTACTTTATCACTTTATGCACCTATCAGCAAACTTTGCGGAAACATGGTGATGTCCACCAAGGTATTACCACACCACAACTATTGTCATCTGAGATGGTTGCCTCACTTTGTCAAATGGTACAACTAGTCTGGTAAGATTCCATGAACATAAAATTCAGGCACTCCTGTTATGGGAATATCAAAATTGTTTCTATATGCAAGACAACAGGAGAATAGAATAATTAATAATCAATTAACATATAGAAATTGGTGAGTGCTGAGATTTTGATCCTATTCTCTCTCTCTCTCTCTCTCTCTCTCTCTCTCTCTCTCTCTCAAGAAAAGGATTTCTTCAATAATCTAGAATGATGTAACTATCTATCTCATTGTATTAACAGAATGGATTTTCACTGTTCTTAGTCTAATTGCTTTACTACCCTTTTGTTTATTTATTCATAAGGACTGCTGTTAAATGACTTGGGAGAGCAATTGCTTAATGGATCAGTATTAAGCCAAATGTTCACTGGTGTTTGGATGTTACTGAGAAGATAAAGACCTGACCAGAAATTCCTGCCCAGAGAAGAGGATTGGGTGGGTTAAAGTAGTGAATCTGTCTTTTGGAGAAGATATCTATTCAACACCCATCTCCCACTATGTGATCATTATTATTATGGATGGTCACAGAGTTAGCTAGATGTTTAGACTGGCATTTTTATCCACCTGTCTTTCCAAGGACCTGGGATAGGCAGATGTTGTTTGATGGTATTAAAGAAATTGTTGCAGGATGTAACAAGTAAAGCTGGCTTTTGCAATTGACTAATTTTATCAATGCCAATGGTGTTCAATAGGTGCTCCAAATGTTTTGGGATTGTACCCAAGGTGCCTATTACTATCATTTTTCTCATTTTACATTTCTCAGTAATCCACTGAAGAGCAAGGGAACTGAAAAAGCTTCTTGGGTGAGAAGTGAAACATTTTCAAAGAAAAAAAAACCAAGAAAGTCCAGTGGCTGTTTGTAAAAGCACTTTTGGGACAACCATGACCTGGGTGATCCAGAATACCCATAGCCACTGAAGAGCAAAAATCTGATTTGTACACCTGACCTAAACCAATTGGCTTGAAGCCACATTGTATTTCCCACATTTTATTCATTATTATCTGTTTTACCTTTTGATCAGGATCCTCCCAAACACCTTTCAAGCACTTAGCAAACTAATCCCCCTGCAATGTTTGCATTCATTCTTCCTGCCTTTCCCTTTATAAAGTGAAAAATACCAGCGTTTTCCAATTGTCAGAAAGGCATGCAGCCTCCACAGACATTAAGCACAGTGACTGCATAATAAACCATATCCATATTTTAACATTCTCTGGTTACATCATCTATACTTGCAGTGTTAGCCTTTTTCAACATTCTTATACCATTTTTTGGGGTGGATTTATTTCAATTCAATTTTTTAATGTATCCCCATGGAGATCTCTAAGTTTCATCTCTCTCACTTTTCATTCAAATCACTGTTCAAATGAGTAGTTTCTTCACCCGCTTCCAAAACAATGTGCGTCAAAATTGCTTGGCAATTTTGCTACCTCTTTAATCTTAACTATTTGTTGCTGTATTTGACTATCTTGATTGTGACTCTTATTTTATATGCATGTTATAAAATATCATGGTCACCCTAATTTTTTTGCAGCAATCATTTTCTTACATGCATTTTCTTTCTACATGGCCTACTTTCATTTATCTTTCCCAAAAACATGTTTTTCGTACTTTCCATTCTCATAACACCACACTCATCTGTGGCGTTCTACAACATTACTTTTTCACAATGTTATTTCCTGCTGCAATAAAAAATAATTCTCGGCGTAACTTGTTCCAACAACTTCCACATGCCTTCTCCTTATGACCAATTTATTTCATTCTGTAGGAAGATAATATTTGAACACTTGTTCATACAGGATGCATACTTTTCCTTCTGATAGTAGTTCTTTCACCGCAGTTTCTTTTCCCTTTCCCCCCCTTTTTTTCCATATTTATTTTCCCCCAAGATCCACTCTTGATTTTCATACAGGAATCATACTTTTACTTCCTGTCTTCCAGTTTTCTGCCAGGTTTATTCTTGGTTATATCTTAATTAATTATGATATTTTCATTTATTTTTTTCTGGAATCATGCCTCTAAAATATTTTTGCTTTCAGTTCAAATTTTATATTAGTTTTCTGAATATTTTGACATATTTCTTTCCAGTATTTTTGAGGATTTTTTTACATAATCACATGTGATAAAATGTTCCTTTTGTTATGACACTCAAGTATTTATTGTTATATTATTTCTCTATCTTGGTAAATATTGACAGTTATATACCATTTGTAAAACATAATGTACCAATTTCCCCTTATTTGTTTTTCCATAACTTTTCCTTTTGTATTGTGACTGTATCTCTGAAGTTTTGTATCCACTTTATCATCCAGTTTTTTATTTGTTCTATATCTATATGTGTGTCTATTCTCTCTCTCTCTCTCTCTCTCTCTCTCTCTCTCTCTCTCTCTCTCTCTCATCTATCTATCTCCTACTAGGTGATCTTAGCTTAATGTTGTGTTTCAGATTGTATCTGCTTCCTCAAAGTCCCTCCTTTTTGAGATCATGTTTTATTTATCCAGCAATGTGTAAATACCTCAAATTCTTACCTTTGTTGAGCAGTTTTTGCTGAGTCTTTAAACTGTTTCCTATGTCTTGATATATACACCATCTGAGAAGTTTTCAATTAGTCCTGAGACATACTTAAATCCTCCTGTTTTTTTTCCTGTCAATTTTTGACAATTTTCATTCCCCCCTGGCAAGAGAAAATTTGCTTTAGAAATTTTAAAAACAAAGAAACCTCAAAAGCAAATTTTCATGGATAGAATAAAGAGTTCTTGTACCCATTTAGTGGTATGGTGGCCAAGAGCTGTATGAACTTGCCCTGTTTTTCAGTATAATTTCCTCAGCTCTCTGAAGCCTCCTTGGATTTCCATACTGCTGTTTCATCAGAAAGAAAGACATTCGTTGAATTTTGGTAGTGCTTCTATTATCACCATTAAGAGAGAATCCTATCATTCAAAAATAATTGGACAATTTCCATGCTCACAATTCTCTACTGATTTTTCCCCGGCAGCAAATTGGATAGACAATTACAAAAGTCTGTATGTGTCCATCTGTAGCAGGGGTGTCAAACTCGCAATGTCATGTGATGTGTTGCGACATACCGTGATTTTTTCCCCATTGCTGGCAATGGGGTGGGCGTGGTTTCACCATGACGCATCCAGCCTGCAGCCGGCAGTTTGACACTCCTGATTCTGTAGTGTCAACACAAGGAGAATGCCAGAATAAGAAAAAGCTGATTTAACATCAGAATTGCTGGCAATCACTGTATATGAACCCAAACTGAACATTCTCTATTCTACAGAACTTGATATCTATTAAAGTGATGTTATGCTCACAGTACAAGTATGGGGCTGGAGCTGAGAAAGCTGAGAAAACTGTTGGCTATATTGTACATATATCTATCTGGAAGTAGGTAACACTGAATTTGGGGGTGCTTAATCTCTGTGCAAAGATATTAAGTTGACTTCTGGGTAGACTTATAAAGAGTTCTTGAACAAGACATTTCTCATGTTACACCTCTCACTGGCTCCAAAGAATTCTTCTAGAAATTTGCATATACAAAATTTAATGTGAGAATATTATTCTCTAAACATGCTCTGACTATGTCAACATTCAGTGAATATTTTATAATCAAAATCAATATATGGCATCTGAAGATATTGCAGGGAGTTAATATTCAACAGGTCTGACATGCATCAGTATTTGGCAACACTAGACAACTGCTGATGTAACAAATAATATTTGACAGTATCCCACAGATAACCTGCTATATGAAAATTAGTTACAAATTATACCAATTCTAGTCATTTCTTTTTTCGTCAACATTTAATGAGCACATTTCCTGAATTTTATTTCAACTCTGTCACATGCTGAGTCTGTTGCTATGCCTGTGAACTCAGTTTGAGGACTAACATGAATGAGTGCCCCTTGTTGTAATCTTGTCCATTACCATCGGTTGGTAGCAGTACCATCAAGGTTCAAGCAAAATAAGCCAACATAGTTCTCACATTGCAGACAGAACTTTCCCATCATAGTAAGCCTACTGCTTTCTGTAACATCTACTTCTTACTTGTGAATGACTGAGTATGGGGTCACTAAGTAATATTGCTTGAGATGGGCCTTAGACTAAAGTGACAGAGTAGGGACCATCACGAATGGCAAATTATAGAGGATGTGTTGGAGAAGGGCTTAGGGCTTATAGTTCTCTTCTTCCCGAATATACTCACACACACTCCAAGAAACTAGATGCTATGTGGGAACCTCATGAGGTGAGTTTAGTTTTAAGAGAAGAGCGCAATTAGATAAAGAGTGCAGAGTCAACATGAACGATGTCGGAGTGAGAATTGAGTGCAAGTGAGCAAGCAAGCCCAGGTAAAGGAAATGATCTTTGTCCTTTGTGCAGCTTTCCACCCCCTCATAGCCTCGTCGCCAAGTCAACCAGTCCCAGCTGGGAAGAAGCAGATTATTTATCTCCAGAGGTCAACCTCTTTCAGGCTCCTAACTAATCAATGCACTCAATCCAGAGGTAGTCCTACAGTATCCATCATACAAAGAGCTCATTCACAGATGAGCTTCTACAATAACAGTTCATAGACGGGGCCTACTCACACCACACAAGGCAATCCTTCCCTATCTTGCATTTTATCTCCCTCACCTTCCTCCCTCCTATCTTTGCCCAGGTGTCTTTTCCCCAGGGAAGACCACAAGTAGTCTAGCTATGACCAAAGAGGCATATATCTATTCTCCTTTTAACCACGAATCTCTTTATTAAGGATAGATGTAATAGTAAAAGATACTCTCATGAAATAAATGGATTTAAGGTAGTTATGATTCATAGCTTAATTCATTTTAAAAGGGTCTGTGTTAGGCATGAGTTCAATCTATAAAAGATACTTTTTATTCATATTGCAAGCAGCACAAAAGACTTTAGTAATTTTGATAATATATACCAGGATAGCGATGCTGGAGAAACCCTTACTGTGTCCTGCAAGGGTATTGCATGGTATTCCGTGAAAAACAACAGCTCATTGAAGAGTAATATGTAAAACCATTGAATCAATATGCAGGTTGTGGCTGAGGAAGATTGTAATCCAGCATATCTGGAAGACATCACTTTAGGTCAGTGGTTCTCAACCTTTTTAATGCCGCGACCCCAACCGGTCGTAAGTCGAGGACTAAACCGGTCATAAGTCGAGGACTTTCCCTGCCTGGGAGCGCCGCACATGCGTGGTTCTGCCCCCTGCGCCAGCCGAGGCATAGCTGGCAAGCGGCAGAGACGGAGCAGGCCGACCACCAGCTGGCCCAGCCCAAGGGAGGTAAGGCACCCACCGGAAAAGGGAAAAAAAATGGCGGACAAAAAAAATGGCAGACAGCCTTGCTTGGCGACCCCCGTGAAATGGTCGATCGACCCCAAATGGGGTCCCGACCCACAGGTTGAGAACCACTGCTTTAGGTAATCTGTTTCAGAATATTCTAATTTGTCTTTCCATTGATTTATTGGTGATTAACTGTCTGGTAATATTGATAGTTTGATGCAAAACTTCCACAAGGAAAGCCTCCATTTTCTTTTCTTTTTTTATTTCTTTATATGATGCCCCTACTTCAAATGATGCACCTACCAACAATTTTGATCATACTTCATGTTGTGCAGATTTAGTTTGGAGCAACAGGAGGAAAGAGATCAAGGGTGAGGCAGCAGATTTCATGCTGGTATAAGTGGAACTAAAGGTTAGATGGAGGGTAAGGATATCAGATGTGGGATAAAAAAAAGTACAATAAATAGATGAAAGCAATAAATCCTGATAGTGCTGAATGTAGTGATCACCTGGATTTTTGAAGCCCCCATGACATTTTAAAAATATATTGTTATTGAAACTTCTATTGTTTTACTGTTTATTTATTTGATTGATTGATTGATTATGCACCATTTTAATTTGGTATTGACTTTTCATAACTAAATAGATCTTTTCCAGAATAAACTGTCCTCTGCCTAGGATAGGTTTTCCAATGGGGCACTCATTGCCACTGTAATTAAGTCAATTTGCCTTGTTGTTTTCTCTTTTGTTCTTCCTTTCCCAGCATTTTAGGGTTCTTCAGCAAATTAGATCTTCACAAAATGTAACAATTTGAGTGAGAATTTTGGGCTGATTTGTTATATGAAAATCTATTAGATTAGTATTATAAAAACCTGGTTGATCATTTGGTGGCAACAAAAAGGGATTTCTGTTTGCTGACATCTAGCTGCAATCTGTATTTTTACACTCTGTATCTTTTGGTATTTTCTAGGAATATGCAACTATTGTTGCGCCAGTATAACAGTAATGATCATGGGATTTATATTGTCCCAAAGGTGCAATTGATGGCCACTAAATTGAATGGTTTTTAAATGGTATTGGATAATTTCATGAAGGAGAGGTTTTTCAAGGACCAGGCTATCTCCAACTGGGACAGCGTACCTCCAAATGCCTTTTGTCTTATTATTTTATTTTATGCCATCCAACTCCAAACAACTCTGAGAAGCTGAAAATACACAGTTGTAAGAGAACAAAACAGAGAGAGAGGTATATTCCTACATTCGTTCCGATTTCAAGCAACTCAGTGGAATATGTTTGGCAAGTGTGGGAAGCAGAGTGTTGGATCAAGATGAGTTTCATCCAGAGCCCTTCTTATAAGCAAGATGTGGGGGGGGCGGAAGTGGTTTAGGACAGAACCTATATGCATATCAGATGTATACACAAATGCTTGTGGGCAAGTATCTATCTGGTGTAGTCCATGATATAAGATCTATATAACACACAGAAAGTATGTGTAATGACACACGGTTTGCCAGTGATAACAGAGTTCTGTATCTTAATAGTACAATAAATGAAAACTTAATTTAATAAAATTTATTTATATATTATATGTACTATTAATATACAAACTACATTAATTTAATTAATTACTAACTATAATCAGTGACTATACTACTATAGATTACATCAATATACTATATGTATATCAAATTATCTATTTTGAATTACTTTGTTATGTGACAGATTGTTACTTTTCAGAGGTATTTAGCAGGGTCTCTTTTGTATGCTATGGAATATGTTGAAAAAAAAAATTAACTTGCTTTGAGTGGGTGCAACGATTCCCATTTTTGTCTTGCTTTCATTCAGCGTTATTTCCGAGCAAGGTGTATGTGAAAGGTTTTTGGAAATGTTCCTGTTCTGTTTGCAGGCTGAACTTCGTTGCTTGCAGGAACTGTGAAAAGGTGATAAGCAGCCAGTGGCCTTTCTAATCTCTGGCTGATAGAATTCACGCGGGTCAACAGTTTTTCCCAGGCTTGAGGTTTAAAATTCAACAATCTTGGACACTTGTTGATTGAGCCAGAAACAGTACCACCTGCCCTGTTCCATAATTTGACTCCCCCCCCGCCCTCTTCTTGGGTTTTTTTTTTTTTTGTTTGTTTTGCTATCCGGAAATTGAGTTTTAGCTTTCTTTTTCTTTTTTTACACAAAGCAGTAGATCTTTTTTCCAGCAATGCACAGTAGCATTTATAATAGCGATTAGAATCTGTGAACTTTGTTCAGATGGACAGGAGTCCAGGCAATCTTGTATCATAATACACGTCTGAGACTTTACAGTGGCAAGAAAAGAATAGAGACTTGTTTAGCAAAAATGATTGGGTTTCTTAAAACTGCACAGTTAATACACCATGCAAAATTATTTTCTCTTTCTCTCTCTCTCTCTCTCTTTCCCCTTCCCTCTTTCTGTGTGTGTGTGTGTGTGTGTGTGTATAATAGAAAAAACTACTAAAAACGTTGATCTCCGAGACTAAACATTTTATTAAGAACTAAACTTTCGTCAACAGCTGCTGACGTTGTCAAAGTATAAGCCAGGATCTTGGGATGCTCATCCTTATAGTCTTTGGGAAGCTAAAGTTAAAGACTATAAGGACGAGCATCCCAGATCCTGGCTTATACTTTAACAATGTCAGCAGCAGCTGCTGATGAAAGTTTAGTTCTTAATAAAGTTTTTAGTCTCTGAGATCAACATTTTTAGTAGTTTTTTCTATTATGAATATACCCGGGACTCACATTTTAAAAATAATAATATGTGTGTATGTTCGAATTTCTTTTTTGTTGACAAAGAGTTAAAGAGTTAAATGGGAGACTAGGATGGCCATTTCGAGCTCATTTTGCTCTCATCAGCTAGCCATACCCTTTATGGGATTTGAACCTGGGCAGCCTGCATACTAGGCAGTTATATTAACCTCCAGGCCACCAGCTCTTCTTCCTTCTTTTGTCAGCCGAGCCATGTATGTGTATGTATATGTGTGTGTGTGTGTGTGTGTGTGTGTATGTGTATATATATATATATATTCCTCAACTTATGACCACAGCTGAGCCCAAAATTTCTGTTACTATGTGAGACATTTGTTAAGTCAATTTTGCCCCATTTTACAACCTTTCTTGCCACATTTGTTAAGTGAATTACTGCAATTGTTAAGTTGGTAACCCAGTTGTAAAGTGAATCTGGCTTCCTCAATGAATTTTGCTTGTCAGAAGGGGATCATAAAAGGGGATCACATGACCCCAGGACATTGCAAGCATCATAAATATGAGTCACTTGCCAATTTTAATCACATTTGCCAATTTAATCACATTAAAATTTGCCAATTTTAATCTATTTGCCAATTTTAATCACATGACCATAGGGATGCCGCAACAGTTGTAAATGTGAAAAAAGGTCATCCGTCGCTTTTTTCAGTGCTGTCGTAACTTTGAACGGTCACTAAACAACTATTGTGAGTCAAGGACTACCTGTATTCAGTATGTAGATTTAGGAAAAAATAGGTTTCAGGCATAATGTCTAAATTCTCATACCTGTCTTATACTGACATAGATTAAATCATCATCATCAAACACTTTAAATAGGTTTCCACATTCTTGCACACCGTGTTCTTTATTTGATTTCTTTTTTCTTTATTCTTCCTTACTTTATATGAATTGTTGCTAGTTTTTTATATTTTTTGTTAAAAGTTTTAATAAAAATTACACACACACACACACATACACAGGTAATCTTCAAATACAAACGGTTCGTTTAGTGACCATTCAAAGTTACAAAGGCAATGAAAAAGTGATGTACAACTGTTTTTCGCACTTCACGCTTATATTTTTTTCTTGAAATTATCAAATTTTTAAAAAAGAAAGGTCGTAAAATGGGGCAAAAATTACTTAAGAAATGTTTCACTTAGCAACAGAAATTTTGGGCTCCATTGTGGTCGTAAATTGAGGATTACCTGTATAGAAAGTTGGCATTTTTCAATTGTTTGTTAAATGCTCTTTAATCATGAACAGAGGCAGTGAACTTTCTATAAGCTTAGGGGGTCTCTTGCTTTAACTCTCGGAGCCCAGGTTCCTGCACTGACCTCTGCTGCTCAGCAAGCTCAGGTGAGGCTGGAGCAGAGCCACGTGGTGCTGGAGCCCCGCATGCAGGGTCGTTGGGGGGAAGCTTTGCCACTGGAGCCTCCTAAAAAAAAGAGAGAGAAGAGAAGAGAAGAGAAGAGAAGAGAAGAGAAGAGAAGAGAAGAGAAGAGAAGAGAAGAGAAGAGAAGAGAAGAGGAAAGGAAAGGAAAGGAAAGGAAAGGAAAGGAAAGGAAAGGAAAGGAAAGGAAAGGAAAGGAAAGGAAAGAAAACGAAAGGAAAGGAAAGGAAAGGAAAGGAAAGGAAAGAAGGAAAGGAAAGGAAAGAAGGAAAGGAAAGGAAAG